TAGATAGTTACCAGGGTACGTTCCGGCAGTACCCTGGGAGACATAGCCCCTATCAGCATAAGTAATTCAAGATCTTGTTAACAGTAGACCACTACATTACAGAGTCAGAGGGTGAGTGGTTGGAATCACAACTACCATCAAGTTGTACTCTAGTATACGTTAGTATTTGTGGGCACAGACGAACAAAGGCCAGTCACTACTATCTACAGTTTCACAGTGGAAAAGCCAACAATAACTAACACAGAACAACAGATAATCACTGCATGCTCTACCCAGACGAAGAGCTACCAGCAACTATAATAATAAACAGAGACAACGATCAGATATATCACAGCTCTAGACAGATGTGAGTGACGGACAATGACTGGCATGTGGGGCTCCCTTAATTGCTGTTGCCCATCTGCAGAAAACACACACACGCACGCACGCACGCACTCACGCACGCGAACGCCACCCGCACCACAACAACACACACGCCATCACATCTCAGCTCTCTCTCTCTCTCCCTCTCTCTCTCTCTCCTACTCTCTGCTCTCCCTCACCTTGCTTGAAGGTCTGCTTCAGCAGCAGTGGTTCTAGTGATGATCAAGCTCCCCCCTACGTCTCTATAATGTGCAGGCTGACCCAAACTACAACATGCACACCGATGTGCACGGTTTACACTAATGACGTGGAAAAATACTACTAAAGTTAAGTCTTGTGTAATCCCTGTTTATAGTTTACCACTGGAAAAGTTAGAAATCCAAATTATAAATCTTTCCTAAATTATTAATCTGTTAAAGTTTACAATCTATGACGGTCTAACGGTGCACTAAAGTAAGTTCTTGTTAACCCAAGTTGTTACATCTGAGTTTTTTTTTAATTTTTTTTTTTTTTTTTTTAAAGTTAGGATGCCGGAGTTCGTATACGAAAGGTGTTAAGACTAGGTTGAATAAACCACGTAGTTAGTTAAGTTAACCGTAAAAATAAGTTCTAAAATAGTATCTCTGGTAATTATCTAGTACAGAGGGCTAAACATCTATTAAATTTAACCATCCATCAGTCAAGCGTTTTCCACCGATCTGGAAGGGTTTTGACTCTGGCATGGCTAGAGAGCATGCAGTAACGTACCTGGATGCAGTCTCTAGTGTTCGCAGTTACCGGGTCAGTGAGTTTGATCACGCTCTGACCTTGTTGTCTCGCTCCGAATTCGTTGATCCACTTGTTTCGCGCTGTCCCTGAGGATCGATCATCAAACGGCCTGATGAATACTCAAGAGCAACAACAACGTTGAAGACAATTGAGGGCTGTAGATAAAACAAGTGTCGAAGCGCATCAATTGTGAGTTCACCCAAAACTTTGTTAGGGGTTCATCGCGCTCAGTATATAAAGTAAAATAGCTCACTTCTTGACATTGTTGAAATGGCTTCTGCTGCGAGAAAGCAACGAGTGTGCAGTGCAGCGCTGCTAGGGACAAGGCAAGAGCGCGCAATTCCGTGGGGGGCAGCCCGAGCATGACTATACGGCGATCGCAGTCGCAGCACTTACGCATCGTCGCGCGAGTTGGCGATTGTAGTACGCCGGTTGCCGAGAGAGAATGCATTCGCAGGGCGAAGCCAGCAATTTCCACGCTGATATCTTAATGGTCCTCTCCCAGCGTACTGACTGCAGAAGAAGTCCGCGGAGCAGGAGATCCCATCGCCTGGAATCACGCCCGACGGTTGGACTAAATATCATGTAGGTTCGGGGGCAGACCGCCTAACCAGCCACTCACCGGGCAACATCATAAATACGACAGCCAAACAATATCGGCGACGACGCTTCGTCGTTTTTCACATTTTTTCATGGTCCATACGCAAATGATGCAATAGCGTTTAACTTCGAGTAATTCTAGTGATCAACCTACGGTGATTGGAAGAGTTTATATTTTTATTGATCGGTATTCACAGAAGTAGGTCGGCCCATCCGATCTCCACAGGCCGTGCAGCCGGAGGCATGAGCTCACACCCCGCGCTGCGTCGTGATCCAGTCCGTATCCCAGTCCCCGCTCGGAAGACGCGGTGAAACGCGCCAGGTAACGATCACTCCCAGAGGCTATGAGCACGTCTCCCGTCAGGTTGTCGTAGACGTTCTGAAGCCTGTCGCCAGCGTTGCGACCACCTGAAAACGTCGGACGCGCCGGTGAGGAGACGCGGGAGGGAAGGTCAGCCGAAGGATCAGCTAAAAGTGGTTCGCTATTCGTGTCGGAGATTAATATGGAAAAGGTGTCGTCTGCGAATCATGTGAGTGAGGCACTGCGCCGCGAAATTGGCACTTTAAATCTGCAACTTATGACTTGCCACTTATACTATAACTTATTACCTCCGCCACGGGTGGCAGGAGGTTTATGTTTTTTCACCGGCTGTGTGTTTGTATCGGCGTGTGTTTTGTTGGTTTGTGGTTGTGTACAGCACAAATAAGAAGAAGTAGTACATTAGTTTCAAAGGATAGTCAGAAAATTGCATCTAACTTAGAATTGATTGGAGATTTTTGGTGGTGATCCGGATCCGACAAGCTAATTAATAATTATTAAAGTTTTTCCACGTTGACGAGAATTGGGCGCTGCCTTGGTGGAGGTCTGTGCTCTCGCGAAGTGCTCTCCTAGTTTATTTTATTTTAACTTTATTACTTACTGTTAACTCTTTTAAACTTTACCACTCGATGACTACCTACTACTAACCTTTGTGAGAATTAAATGCTGGAGAATTCGTGCCTCTTACATCTGCACCGCCCCCGCCCGCCCGCGGGCGCTGCTTTGTCGTTGTCTCGACGGGCCATATCTCTCACGATGCGCGCGACCTCTTACCGAAGCGCTCTACTCGCAGCGATGCTGGGCGTGTGGTGACCGACCGATGGCTGCAGTCATCGGTTATCATTAACGTTATTTGTCATATGTCAGAAAATATCCATCAGTGCGATAGTAGCTGATCATGTGGATTCGGGACGGACAGTGGCCACCTTATACCACGTATGACTGCCGCGTAACGACTGACAACGCTGACGATAACCTCGCGTATGATGACGCATCGCCGACACACGCCGCTCCTCTCCAATGTTTGAAATAATGGAAAAATTTTGCTTGTCCGACGGACAAGCTACAAGATATTTTTGCTTGTCCTGCAAAATTTTTGCTTGTCCTGATTAATAACATAGAAATATAGTAAATGTGTAATACATTTAATCAAATTAAATTTTAGACCCAATATCTTAATTACTTTGTATTTTTAATACAGCTGAGTTCACTAACAGTTCAAATTAGGCACCAAACTTGAAAGAACATAAAGAAGCACAATTATTTATTTTAAGTTATTACTTGTCTTAACAAAGTTGAAGCGATGGTAGAAAATGATGAAAAATTGCTCTAAAAAGTTGCTCTAAACAGCTGCTTGTCCAGCGGACAAGCTACTGGACAGGTCTACTTGTCCTCCGTGGAAATGGACAAGTGAGGACAAACGGATAGCCCTTATTTTGAACATTGCTCCCACGCGCCGTGCTCTCTCATCGTTTCAGGCCGGAGCTGGAGGAGGAGAGGCAGGCGCTGATCATCCAGAGCGCGGCGAATCGCAAGCAGCTGAAGGAGATTGAGGACAAGATCCTGCACACGCTGTCCGCGTCCGAGGGAAACATCCTCGAGGACGAGACGGCCATCCAGATCCTCGACAGCTCGAAGATCCTCAGCGACGACATCTCGAAGAAACAGAAGGTGGCGCTGCTGCGGGGATGAGGATTTTTTCCTGGGGAGGCGGGGAGTGGAACTCGCAGTGGTTTTGGGCGTTTGGGTTAATTCGGTGGTTCTTGTGTTCTTGCTTCTTGTGTTCTGTGGTGTTCGTGTGTTCTTGTCGGATGTTTCGTGCTCTTTGCTGTGATGAGAAATGTCTGGTCATATATTGGGCTACGTTGGCGCACCCTTGGGTCAGCCACAGTTTTACTATGAATAAAAGTCGCTGGAAACCCACGGCGATCCACTTCAAACGGCGTGGCGGCCGTGTTTTGGGACACGGCCTGCGGTTAGAGAACTGCTGTGTTACTCACTGATCACCTACCTGATACCGCAATACCTACGCGAGTTCTCTAGTAATTAATATATCCCTGCAGAAAGTAGAAACGTAACTTTCCAGTATGTGTTATCTATACAAAGGCCGATATTGGCGAATAATGCTTGTCTACTCTTCACGGTTTGTCCTAGCTGCCAGGAGTAGGTGATTGATAGGTAGCCGTATCCGATTGCGCATTGCCATCTTGCGATGTGACTACCGCACTCGGCTAGATGGGCTATCAACGCTGCATTCATGTGGTTTATGTCCTGCATCTACACTCACTCATGCTGAAGGGGTTGTTGTCGTATCAGGTACTACATATATGTACCTGAGGTACATATATGTATACACAAAGTGTACCAGACTTGTACTACAGAAGTGTACCCTAACCCTAACCCTAACCCTAAACATACGTCATATAAAAATATAAACATAATACTAAACAACCTAAAACTACCTCGGGTACACATATGTAGTACTTGATACGACAACAACCCTTCGTGCCTCACTCGTGCTCTCGTCACTCGTGTTTCGGTCTCTCTGTGCTCTAGATGACAACAACCCTTCGTGCCTCACTCATGCTCTCGTCACTCGTGTTTCTGTCTCTCTGTGCTCTAGATGACAACAACCCTTCGTGCCTCACTCGTGCTCTCGTCACTCGTGTTTCTGTCTCTCTGTGCTCTAGATTGCCGAGGC